GGAGCGCACCTCACCCATCCTCCTCCCCCCCTTCCACTCCTCCTCCTCCTCCTCCTCCTCCTCCTCCTCCTCCTCCTCCACGCGGTGCCTCAAAGCAGACGCGGAAGTTTCCACCCAGAGCAGCCGCTGTTTCCCGAGCTGAGCGCTGACATGACAGGAGCAGAGAGCTGTGGGTAGGAAGGAGCGGTGACAGCGAGGAGGAGGAGGAGGAGGAAGAAAAGGGGCGAGAGGAACCCCCGGAACCCCCGCGGCTGTACCGGACCCTCAGCCTGGCGGATGGCTTCTCTTGGCTCCGCGGAGCGACGGGCTTTCGCCCTGAAGATCAACAGGTAAAACTGGAAGCTCTGCACGTTTCAATCGATCTGATTAAGAGAGAGTTAGGGGGGAAATTAACTTTAGACAACAAGTTAGGAGGTTTTTCTCTTTCTTTTGCCAGCTGCAGCAGACAGCACATGCTGTTGCAGCAGGTTGTTGCACTTTGTCCCAGATAAATAAGAAAAAAATATAATAATAAAAAAAAACACACGCCTGGAGGGTTAGAAACACGCAGCTTCTCTTTAACTTTACTGGGAGTTCCCTGAAGAGAGCTMCAGCTTTCCAGCAGTGATGTGATCGCTCAGAAACATTTTCTTTTCTCCTCCCCTGATCAAACACCCTGGATTCTGACAGCAGGATGGATCTGTCGTTTCATTTCCTCTTTGATCATCCTAAATCTGGAGTTTTTTACTGTGTGGATCACTTCCTGTAGAGTGATGTGTAACACCTCACACAAGAGGAGGGGATGTGCTCACAGTTCCTGCTGTGACACTGACCAGGTGTGGAGGAAGTGGAGCTGCACGGAAGTCCATTGTGTGCCATTGCCCCCACTGTAGTACGAGTCACTAAACAAAAATACACCCGTGCATTTCTGAAGATAAGGCCTTTAAAGCCTCTGTGAGCAATAAAGCAGGTCAAAGTGTTGCTGTTTTAAGGGTGCGGAAAGTTTAGTGAGCTGGAGTGGATGAAAACAAGTGTGTCTGTGTGCAAAGATATTAAGATTCAGAACGCAGTTTGAACAGTTTCGACTGTATTGATGAATCAGGGAGGTGTCCGTCGACCAGGAGAAATCATGGCTGGCTGTTTCTTTTTGTGCTGTGCTGTGCAAAGCTGAGCTCAGCTGCAGGGGGATGCTGGGTCTCGGGCCAAACGCAGCGCTGCTGATGAGCCTGCAGCCTAGAAGATGCTGCACTGTAGTATGACGTGGGGTTTTGTGCTTCCTGTAGTAGTAAATTATGACTATATTCATGATTAWAGTATTCAAACCAAGGCACAATTATATGTAACCATTTGTATGCAAACCCTAAATCTTTAGTGTTAATGGAGGTGTAAACCAGTTGTTTTATCACGATACGATATTATTAGGGATATGATAATTTCAGCCGATATCGATATCTGATATAATTATTGCTGTTATGGCCGATAACTGAAATTTACCGATATTACACAAACACACAAAATATATTATACATATACGGGACATATACGCACAAAAACACTTGTGTGTTTTTTTGATACCGTAAATAAACAACCAGACCTCTGACATGACTCCCTACTTCAGTTATTCCTGGCTGCGCAGCATCAATATCACTATCGTGATCAAACAGATGCTGCTCAACCAACCATCTCCCCTCCCAAAACAAAAACCAAAGCTAAAAAAGTGGGAAATCAATATCGGACATTAATATCAGCCCAGTTTTAAATATTGGACCGATACCGATATTAATGCCGATATATCGTGCATCCCTAGTGTCCATTTTGTTTGGGTGACGCCATGATGTTTCTCTACCACAAAGTCTTCACTTTCATTCACAAGTCTGTGATTGCTGTATTCATCCACGTCATTCGTATGATGACAATATGGATTGATGTTTTCATTTTGCCTTGGTGTAATGGAATCATTTCGTCGATATATTGTCGTGGATCGATGCATTGTTACACCCCTATTGTGAACCCAAAGTACCTGGTAAAGATACTTAGGTACTGGCTCCTAGACCTAGTCCACATGTAGCTGATATCTGGGCAACCGAATAYATTTTTATACAATTTGTGGCCTTTCATCCACGCGTAAACTTCGTTTATCACRAAAAACAATTAATAATGAAATGATTTGAGAACTCTCCCTTTTTTTGTTTGTGTTTAGACATTGGAAACTGGAGGTTTAGAGGTCTGCACGTTGCAGTCTGCGACAAATAACATGGCGCTGACGTCTCATAGTTATTGTTTGGCCATGCAGTGGAGGGAAAACGACTGCAGTCAGAGAGGTGCTGATTTTTTACCTTGGTTCAGATGCTTTTTGCTCGTTTGTTTTTGCAAACCCAACTGCTCCAATATGTTGAGTTTCTTAAACCGATCCTGTGTGTGCAATATATTTTAAACTGATATGATGGAGATGTTTGTTTTTCTAAAGGCCTGGCCATGTATGAACAAGACCCTAGATTGGCTGCCACAGGATCAAAGGTGCATCGAAGCACACCTTATTCCTATCCTGCTCCAGAATTGTGTCCTGCGTCCCATCGTTCAGCTTTGAAATAAGTCAAACTACAAACCGAAACACGCCGCTTTATTGGGAATTGTGTGCTATGACTCTTAGTAGCAGTGTGTCCCACAGCGTAAACAGAATTTGCGGGAGTGTGAGCAGAGAAATATTTGAGATCAATGGGATTTTGAGGAAACCCATTTAAAAAATCAGCCTTTTTTGAAGCTCTGCAGATCAGACTAGAACATCCTTCAAAGTTTAAACAAGGTCACAGTTGGGCTTTAAATGAACTAACTTTTGAAATCTTTTTCAGTTTTAGCAGAATCACAGGTAAAGTTTTATCTTTTTTTTTAAACCATGTTTTCCACAGGTTGTTCTTTTGACAGAGGATGACTCCCCACACAGTAACTTCTGCAAACCTTCTTGCTCCCACGACTCTTTTTGGCACATGAACACATTTTTACATGAAAACTGTCATTTGTATCCTCTTTCACCTGATGTGTCTCTCACTTCTATAAAACTTTGTTTTCCGTCAAATCTACCCAAAGTGCAGAGACACCCAAACTCTGAAAGACTTCGTTTATGTTCCATTCAAAACAGGAAGTGAAGACTCACATTTCCTACACGAAACACTTTTAAAACATCAGATTTTATATCTTTAGGGCCTTCTGCTGCTTACGGTTGAATCATTTTTAAGATATGACTTGTAGTTTTTGTAAAGCTACTGCCTATTTGAGGCTTACATATTTTTTAGTTTTGTCTTCTTTTCATTAATTTGTCAATCAGAGCAACATGTGTGTTCATAATGAGCCATTAGCAGCGGTATTCCTAGCTCGGATTATAAAGTGATGTTTCATTTTTGGTCCGTAGCTGTCTTCAAAATATCTTCAATTTTTTAAATATTTTTAGTTTCTATTTCAGATTGAAGAGAAGTTATTTATTAATGCGAGGCTTAAAGAGGGAGGTCAGTGTGGAACAACAGTCACATGATGAAACTCCAGCTTGCAGAACATTTTGCAACTCGTACCACTCATATGAGACGAGGTATGTTTGTAGACTTGGTTTTATTGCTCTTATCATTTTGAAATCTTTTTTTTTTTTTACCCCCCTCCGCAAGTACTTTTACAGTCCCGTGAGCTCTTATCAGGACATCTTGAACCGAGTGTGGAGTGTGAAGGAAATCCTGCTAACTTAAAGACACTCTGGTTTCACTTCACTTTTTCTTGATGGCAGTTTTAAAGCCAGGAAATGTTTCTTCATCTGAGCGCACGAAAAGAGGAATGGAAAGGAAGGGTGGTTGTCAGAGTCCAAACTCCTAAAATTAAAGGGTTATCGTCCGTCATAATTGAGGATGGTGTGATTTTTTAAAAGCATATGGTGGCAGGTGGGAGGCCAGCTGTGCACATGCAGCCCCCCACCTCTTGTTTAAGGCTCAAACAGGGAGGGGCTCTGGATCTTCTGTTTCATCTGATTTCCTCTGGGTTCTCAGCTGATGTCCTCTGTTAACCCTCAAGTCTGCTGGTGGGCCAGCCATCGTTACGAGGTGTGTGAAAAATCCTCAAAACAAAAAAAAAATTTGGACAAATGACTCCAAAGTTGTAAATTTAGACGAACGTGTCTTTTAGTCACTTTTTTCCCCGTGGTTTGAGTGGAGGAAACGACTCCTGTTTGTGCTTGCCTCTCCTCAGAGAGGAAGCTGAGTGGTGATGGTGCTGATAGCGGTACGACCCATTAGGTCTGGAGACATATGATAGCATGAGACACACAGTGGGGACATCCCTCTGGTGTGCTTTTTCTCCTCCTGTTGTGTACACCACACCGCTCTCTGTTTTCCTGTTCCTTCACTGAATAAGATGGAGGAGGAGAAATCTGTGGTTAGACAAGGGAGGGTGTTCGAGAAGTCACTGTCCTCTAAGTGGACAGACTTTATATTAACAATAAGACAACAATAACAACAATAAAAATACTTTGAGACGGTTATTAGTTCAGGAAAAGATGATTCTCTCCATAAGTGACTAAGCTCAGTTGGAAGGTGAATCAATGAACTGAAACTATTATTGAGAATCACAGTAAAGACAATTTTTGTACTGATTTTAGGTTAGTTCTTTTTCTTAATGTGCAGACAAACAGTTTATTTTCTCATGTTTGGACAGGACATCGTGTCCCACAGCCGATGGTTGGGTGGGGTAACAACATTCCTCTAGATTAAAGACAAAATTGTCATCTTGTCCAGAGAAAAGCAAAAAAAAACTGCACAAGATTTGTTTGTACTCGGACACGTGTGATCATTTCTGTTTGGGTCATATTTTTCAACTCGTTCAGTTTTCTCTTTTTTTTCTGTGATGTTTTCTGAACTATTCTCTATTTGTGATAGAACTTCTAAATAAGATCTGGACTTACCAACTACAGTTTCATTGTCTTCATTCTCCTCTGGCTCTGGTTCAGACCCTGGCTCCAACACGTAAAGGGCTCGACACACGGGAGGCGACGTCGCTCGCTCTCCATTCATTTCCTATGGAGCCTGTGCGGTGAGGCGACAATCGCCTGCCCTCCTACAGCTAGGCGACCGGCGAAAATAGTGCATGTGAAATTTCGCGCTCGTATACGTGCACACGCGAGCTTGCGACGCGACATATGAAAGTTGAAAAATGTTCAACTTTTGTCGCTGTCGCTTAGCGTACAACCAATCAGCGAGGGTTTCATTGGCTGACCAATGAGAGGAGAGTATGCTACACACTGCKGTTAGCTAACACTTTCACCAAGTGATTACTAAAAAGCTTTGTGGGAATTTATTGGCACCAGGGTGAAGTTTATGGTAAGTTTTTCCTCATAAAACTGTATCTTGATGTGTGTTTGTTTTTCAATATCATTAGCATTGCAAGATTTGTTTAGTTTACACGTCGTAATGCACACCCCCCTTCAGAGTCAAGAACCAATCAAATTTTGTGAAGACAAGCGATCTGAGAGCGCGATTCGCAACGCTGCGATCGCTATCGCGTCCCGTGTGTCGGGTTTCACCCTGGCTGCGATGACAGCCGTTAATCGCTGTAGTTTGTCGCGTCCCGTGTGTCGAGCCCTTAAGGCTGGGTGGACGAGTCTTCTGTTGTTGACWTCTTTTAATTGATTTACCGTAGTTACTGCACCACTATAGAGCCGTAATCCCCTCTATCCAGCTACAATGGAACGCTCTGGAAGCTGGAGAGGGGCGGGGCCTCTTTTGGATTTAAAGAGTCAGCCTCAAAATGAGTTGATCTGAGACACACCTCAGAAAAAGGTTGAAAGAAGGGATTGTGGAGTTACAATAAGGAGGAATTCAAACCAAAGCGTTGCAGTTCCACTTTATGTAGACCCCAACTGAATGTTTTAAGTGAGAAAAAGAAGGACTTAAAAGCATGACATGTCTCCTTTAAGGTCAATATAAAAATAAAGGGAAAACYATAGATCATTTTGTAAAACAGAGCCTTGCTCTTTTGGTCACAGGTCAACCAATAAAACCCTGAGGTTGCTATGAAAATGCCAGATTTATAGCTTAAATAATTTATAAAAATTCTCATCTATGATCCTAAAGGAAAGTTCAACATGTWTCAGTTTAGAGCAAATACATCAGGTCTGTAAAACGGCACTGGAGGACACTTATCTAACATTTCCAAAGCTTTGGTCTAAAAGTCCCAGATTAGGATTATCTCACCTCTTCTACATTATTAATAGTTGAGGTTTGTCAGGAAGCTTATAGGAGAGTTTCAGTTTAACAGAAGCTGTTAGGATTTTGCTCAGTTGTCATAAAAATGTAATTTGTTCTTGTTTTGTCCAGGACATGTGTTTTGTGCAGCTGTTATTCAGTGCCTCAGGGTATATTTAAGTATGGGGGGYAAAAGGAAAACATCTGAAAATCTGGTTATTTCCCCCGATAAGTTGATGTAAAGTAACAAAGCGATTAAAAATACTCAATAGATGTTTAACTGGGCTGGAATAAGAGAAATTGTCATTTACAGATACGTATATCTGCCCAAATGTGTCGAMGAGAGTTCTGTTTCTTCGCTTGGGGAACATTTTGGAAGTGATGTCAGAAAAGCATTTGAGCAAGTGTAGGCCTGCCGTGACAGAGGAAAGGCTCTCCCTCTTTCTCTTTCTGCAGGAGGGGAAATGAAAGAATGATGTGAATCCTCTGAAAGCAGTAAGGAGATTTTCTCTGGAGAGATTTCCAGAGACTCTTCAGAAATGTCCCGGCTTTATTACTGGAAGATGATTTAAGAAACCATGATCTAATGCAAATAACGCCCACAGGGTCGTATATTTAAATCAAATTCCTCTCTGGAGCTTGAAGTTGAACTGGGGACAAATCAAAAGCGAATTTGACGCGTCGTTAATATTTCACACAAAGCTGTTTGGACGGAGGTTGTTCAGTTTTGATTGATGATAAATCATTTATTCCTGCTTTGCATTCTCTGTATATTTGGAATAAGATGTGATTTTATTTTTTTCCCCCCTGTGAGGGATGATCTCATCATTACAGCCTGACAGCAAACATGAGATTAATGATTATGGTAATAAAAAACATCGATCTGTGACAGCACGACTATATTCTAGTCATGTTTTATTATTCTTTAAACCTATTTTTATAATGATTTAAAACTATCTGATTATTTAATCTCCTTGACAAAACATGTTTTTTCGTATTTATTGTGTGCATGTTTATATATAGATCATAAAATAAATAAAGCATGATGTCTTTTCTCTTGTTGTAACTGTCGGCTGCATTAGAGCAGCTGTTTCTTCAGCAGCTTTCTGATCATTGATGACGTTTACTAATTTYATCCAAACTGAGGCAAAGAAAACCAAACCAGACATTACTGTCATCAGGTTTTGTGATCAGCGAGGATGATCTTTTTTTAAATGGTAGTTTCAGTCTTACTTCTGAGAATTAAATGGCTTTTTGTTGAAGATGCTTTCTGGATGATGTAAAGGCTTCTGGTGTTTTGCACGTGCTCACTGCAGAGATGTGGACAGATGCTGCTCATTCAATAATGACCTTTGGTGTTTTTAAGTACGTCCTGGTTACTGTTTCCTTTGCAGYCTTTGCGTTCAGACAGCTTTTTAGGGCTTGTTCAACACTTTAACACGTGTCAAACTCAGGGCCCGCGGGCCAAATCTGGCCCTCAATAACATTTTATCCGGCCCCAAAGGTGAAATAGCTTTATGGCTTCTCTTTTTTTTGTCACTCTTATGCTCTTCTCATGACAGCTGGCCAATGTTTAAGCCAAGAAAATTAAGTTTGAATTTTTGTTTTTGTCGTAGAAAGAGCAACAGGAAATTGACTTTGAATATTTTTTGCTGTGTTCTGTTCTTATTTTAAAGTCAATTAGATTTTTAGCGAGAGATTTGCTGGATTGTAAATGGAAAACATAAAGTAAAGTGTGCAAAATGAATGCTAATGATGCCTTTTTCCAATCCTTTTTTCTTTTTTCATTAGATTATGTTTGTTCTAAAAGCTAAATAAAACAATTTGGAAAGGTCATTTGTWTTTCTATAAGAATGATTTGTTATAATAACATTTCTTCAATAAATATTGACAGATGTTGGCCCTTGGCTTGAACCAAATTTTGAATTTTAGCCCCCTTGATTGAGGTTGACACCCCCGCTTTAAGGGATATTTCAGATCTGGAGTTCATTGAAAACAATTGTCCTGTTTACACAACACTGTTTTTGAGTGAAAATGTAGCATTTCTGCTGCGTTTTGGCTGTTTGTGTACATGACTACAACGGTCATACCAAAGCTTTTTGAGTCCAGGACACAGATCCATGAGTTTGCACCCGAAAGTGCTACAGCTAGCTGCTGCTGCTGCTTGAAATTATTCATCCAAACTTGTGTAAATAACTGATTCAAACACACCAGATGCCCATGTAAGGGTTTATATAATAAGGGTGTAACAATATATCAACATATCAATTATATCATTAATGATTCGATTATATCGAGGTAAAACAAAACATTGGGCCTCATGCAAAAACATGTTCGTATTCTTATCCTAAATTTCTCTTACTTTTGTTCGTA